CTGCTGGCTCATGGCCAACCTGTCGTCCACCAGGACACCCGGGTCCCTCTCTGCAGAGCTCCTCTTGTTTTTAACATTTCTGTTCATCCAGACAAAAAGCTTCCAAACACAAAATGAAACAATTCATAAGCATCCCAGGTGCCCGCAGGAAGTGTTTTAGACAGCCAGTAGTACCTAACTGCAACCTCCGCACGTGGTCACTTCAGCACCATGGCCAAATCCCACGAGCGCTCCAGCTTCCTGGTTTGAGACTTGTCCTCACGTTATGCTGTACTGCAGGTTGCAATTGTTCTGTTTCCCTTCTCTTTTCTTCTTGTTTTGCTCATTATTATGTCTAACATCTGTTTTCAGATACCTCAGAATATACAGAAAACAGATATTCCAATGCATACCAAGAAAAAAGATGGGTTTTGCTCCTCCGGGAGAAAATCATCTGAAGAATTATAAGAAAAAAAAAATATAAAAAAAGTATATAAAGCAGTCCAAGTCAAAAACAAAAGATTTTTCATCATAAAAAAACCTCTATTCTTTTGACAGACATCACTGTTGCTCAGTTAAGAGCTATCCAAGGACAAGTAATTCCTTTAATAGCTCCTTTAATAGCGCAGATCCTATCTTCAGTATAATAGCACAGGCTGTAGCTCAGTATAAATTATCTCGGGAAATTTCAGTTAATTTCTTGAGATTTAATCCAGTCCTTAATGAAATTAAACAGCAGCTATTTTTGTTTCTGGTGTAATTTAATTATCAGACACTTTCTCCTTAAATCCTGGCACAAACAGTGCCTACAGGACAAGCTATGTATCGCTTCCCAGATGTTTTCATTTCTGCTAGAAGAGTCCAACATGAGTTAAAATCACCAGATCAATTATGGAACAATAGCAAAGATGAAAAGCAGGAAGAGAAACAGTAGTAGAGAGCAACACTCCTACCTGCAGGAGAGGACACAAAACCAAACAGACGGCAGCATTCAGTGATAATGACAAAGAAGAATAGGGCACATAGGAACTGTAAGTAATGCAGCAGAAACAGAGGCTCAAAGCAGGTGCATGTTCATTAGGACAGTCAATTCATGGAACAGATTTGCCCAGGGCACTTGTGCAGCCTCCATACTTGGAAGTTTTCATAATCAGAGCAGATAAAGACCTGAGTAGGTTCTGTCCTCATAAGTCTGCCTGCCTTAAGAACCAAACTGAACTGGTGACCCAACCTAAACTTTCCTAGAAACTGATGTTATTGAAATTACGCACAAATTAAATCCCACCTCACTAAAGAAATTCTTATGGAGATAATTTCAAAGTTCTTGGTTGCTCTGTTTAAGATAAAGATGCAGAAGACCTGATATTCGAAGTATTGAAAACCAACAGTAAGATGCGTGAATACTGAAATAAGTGCCATTAGCAAGGACTGAAATCACATCTTGAGATGCCTTCATCTCTGTGTGCTACACATACAGCGTGAGCCATCTTGAGAAAGGAACAGTAACACCTCAATGAATTTCCACAAGGGTACCTACACTGCATTTAAAATAAAAGTTTGTGTTGTTTTTTTAATCCTTTTTCCTTGTTCACATAGGAATGCAAAGTCAGCAGAACTATGATACAGAACAAGGAAATACTAAATGAGAGTATAGGTAACAGGAAGCACATCTGCCAGATTCAGAATGTATGGAAGAAGCTAAGGGGAAGAACAAGTTGGGAAGGAAAAGAAGGACACACCAACTTTAAACTATGAGATAAAGAGTAATAGAGGCATGCCTGGGACACAAAACAAAATGATTGACGACAAGAATTAAAAGTGGTACTATACAATATCCATATGTAAAAAAAAACAAACTACCTTAGGGAACTGGAGCAGTTTCTTCCTTAGGTTTCACCAGCAGCTTGCTTTCAGAAAAGATCTCATCCTCTTCCCCATCCTCTAGTTAAACTGCTGTTTTTGAGAATGCAGAACTATGGTATCCATGGTATAGTTCTCTGTTACATTCTGTTTCTATTCCTCTTTACATACCCTGTCATTTTAAACTTAGAATGTACTTAAAATAGCTTAAAAAAAACCCCAAAAACTCTAATATGCTGAAAACTAAAACTCTAAGCAGAATTGTTGCCATTTGCATAACCTACATACAATTCCTTCAGTCACAAAAATATTTTTTGTTCTATTGGGAAAAGGTTATCTCTGAAGGTTTAGCATTTATCACTCTTGCCTATGGCTGACAGAAAATCCACTTTTGTTATGACCAGAAGGTGAGAAGTTAAAAGTATTTTAAGTACTTAAGTATTTTAGCAATGTAAAAGATGCTGAAGATTTGTTGAAGATTCATAAACCCTGCAATTTTGTTAAATAACTTTTACCTTTTTAGGAAGATATACGAAGAAGAGCTATTAAGAGATCTAAACAGATTGACTACTGACAAAAATTCTTCAATCCAGCTGCGTTATGGAATGTTAAGTTTGCACAATCGGTTTAAGAACATGGGCACAGTGGGTACAGTTCATCAACAGTATCCAAATAGCTGACAAAACACACACAGCTTAAAAACTTTGTATCAATTGAGGTCCTGCCTGCATGTGAACAACTACTTATGTTTTTTCCAGTTCCAAATTAAGATGTACAGCTGTGCTTCCATCACTGTCTTTGTTGTGTACTATGTCCACCAAACTAGGGGGTAAACATTCCCCAAGAATGAAAGCAGGTAATGTTTTAATTCAGAAAAGAGAGACAATGATAAGCAATAGGGAAAACTTTTTTATTATGAAACAAGACAAAAGGAACAGCTATTCTACCAAGCAAGGCTTTACAACTTTTTGCAGCAAAAGTTCAACAGCCAATGAGTACAGTGGTAGAACTATGCAAAGTTATATCAAGTGATTGTCTTCCCTAAAATTGCTTCCAATCCTTACAAATAACTGCAAAACCAACAACTAGAAAACTTTCAATGATCTTTCAATATCCAGTGAAAAATATTTTTAATTCAAATCATTCCCAAACACTTAAAGTTTATGTTAGGAGTCATGCATTTATCTCACATACCTGGCACTCCTGCACTGCAATTTCATTACCAGCCTATATAAAAAACAGCAGGGTTTTAGTATTATCTTGCAAGTACAACAAGTAGCTAATCTGCAAAGCTATCATTAAATCATTTCTGGCAGTGATGAAGAGTTGCTGTTCTGTAAATTACATCTGAACTTCTTTTGGTTCCATGTCTCTTATCCCAAGAGCTAAAAAGTGCACTTAGTGGGTACTGAAAAAAATAAGTTAACTTAGGGCACCTGTAGGCTAAACTACATAATTTATGTGAGGAATGTACAGTTTGATAGCATTAGCCTGTGGGCAATGACAGCAATCAAGAAGTACTCTGTCATTAACAGGAAGGTGCACATCTTCACATGATATACACAAGTAGAGTGTCTTACTTGAGAAATTCTGCTTTAAGAATGCATGCTATCAGACAAAAGTATAACTCAGAAAATAGAGCTAGTTTCAGTGAAAATAAAATTACTCTAGGTGGGAACTGGCTGACTGGCAAGCACAGAACAGCCTACAGGAAGGTCATGTGGCATCAAAATGCACGTCAGAAAAATATAAATTTCACACTGCTTTTCAACAGAATGAGAAGCAGTTTCCATCCAATGAAATTGCATTAACAAAATGATTAACAAGTCCAAATCCCTTTTTACAGTTTCAATTACAAAATTGTCTTGTTGGCTGTCCAAATATTTTGTTAATACTGTTTCCACGCACCTAACTGGAAATTAAGACTTGAAGGGATCTGAGCAATCTATCATGGAACAGGAAGGAGGAACAGCAAAAAGCAAGGAGCAAATTTTCTCGCCATCTGCTCAGTAATTAAGAAAAGCAGATTTCCATTTCACAAACACTCCTCTAATATTTTCCATTAGAGTACAAATGCAATCCCTGGCATTTCTCTACTCTTAAGAGCAACTGGTCCCTAAGAAATCTTCTTCCAAATAATTTACACTTGAGTGCTTTCATTTCTATTAACTTGCCTAGTCTCAAGCACACAATGCCTTCTTGACATCAGTGGATCTTTTATACAACCAAATAAACTCCTCCATTTCCCTCTCTAACTAAAACAGCTAAAAAGGGAGAATATGCCATATCTGGTACTCAGTAGGACTCACTGATTCTAGGTCTTAAGCTGGGCAGTGGGGTCGAGGATCTAATAGCTATTTTAACATTGCCACCCCTGTAGTTGCATCACCAAGTGTACACTTATCCAAGCAACACAGGCAGCATCCTGCTTGAGCAAGAAGTCACTTTACCAGATTTCTCATAATGTTTAGAGAAGACCCTCTGTACCCTGAACCAAAATGGTTCCAATGGTTCATGTAGTGAAAAAGCTGATAAAGCTTTAGACGCTTTTCAAACCCTGGAGCTTTGGGAATTTTACTGTGATAAGCAGAGTAAAAAGAACTGCTGAAACCACCAAACATCCCAGCTATTGCAAGCTCATACTCTGAATGGCCATAGAAGGAAGCTGGATCAAAAATAATCGGACCAGAATCATCCTCTGCAACATTTCCTCCCCAGAGATCTCCATGCAGGAGAGCAGGAACAATTTCTACATCACAGAACAAACTGGGTATCTTCAGCTGCAGGGGAAGAAAAGCAAGACATATCAGTAATAAATCTGTGAATGATTACATGGTTTTATCCACATAGATGCAAAGGTTGCCGAGTTGAATTCATGCTTTCTTAAAAATCAGTTTAAAAAAATTAAGTTGGAACACCATAGGACCTCATCAACAAAGATGCAGATAAAATTAAAAGAATTTCTATTTTTACACAAAAGGAAGCAGATGACAACCAGTCACTGAATTGTTCATGTGTTTTTTTTTAGCATTCCAGATTTCAAAATGTAAAACTAAATTCAGCTACGTAGCATTTAATAGATTAAAAAAATAATACTAAGCAAACTCACTTTATCATTATTAGAAAGCTCCTGATTATTAGATACTCCTGACAACCTTGAGAAGATTTCTACAAAACAGCACCCAAACACCTAATACTGCAGTCACTTAATCAGACACAAATCTTAAACAAAGAAGAGCATGCAGAACAGCACTCCAAATATACATTCCTCATCACAAATGTTTTTGAGGGAAAGAGAAATGTGAACTTGATCTAGAATTTCCCAGACAGTAAGGCCAAATGGCATTTGGCACACGTTCATTTTAGATTATAGAGCAACTTGCAAAAGCCAGTGAAACTTAGACTAAAAGGCATTTTAATCTCTAAAAGCTGGAGTCTTTGAGTGTCTTCCCAACAGCACTGAGGCATAACAAAGAGGAACTCTGTTTTATGACAAGAAAATCTAAACAACTGAAAGAACTTTTACCTGAAGTCGTGCCCAAAGTTCTCTTGCTTCCCTGTCTCCTGAATTCTTTTCAATCATATCCATTTGGGGCTGGATTCTTTGCCTGGCAAAGAAAGTGACCCAGTCAGCCTGCCAGTCATTCACCTGAAAGAAGAGGATTGCAGATGTTGATTTGACATCACACAATAGACAGCTTTTATTTTTTCAAATATAACTTTGGAGGAATATACAACCTTTATGCTGAAAACAGCCTGAATAGTAAATGTTACAATTTTAATAAAAAGTACCTTAAAATGTTAAAATAGGGGAAAAATACCGAGCACTAAAATACAAAAAAAAAAGAAGAGGAATGGATGTCTGATGCATCTGTAAGTGGTGACCAAGGCACAACTTTCTTTCACAGGCTAAACAATGCTTTTTCTTTTTAAAATGTCAGATATAAATGAATTTCTATTACAATATTTGTGGCCCTTTGTTCAAGGCAAATTAAATAAAATTCTATCACTCTCATGAAGTGCAACCTACCTGTGGAAGATAGCCACAGCAGGTAACTGTATGAAAGCCAAACTGATCCACAAACTGGACTTCCATTTGCCCTTGCCCTTTACCTTTCAAACCAAAGACAAAAATCCAATACCAATGACAAGATTCTAAGCATCTAAATTACAAATGGACCTTAAAATCTATACAATGAAAGGTAGAAAGTTTTTCCTACTGAGATTTTTAAAAAATTGCATGTTAATATACTTTTTGTTACAATGGTTGCTGCTATCAGTTAACTTTAGAGCTCAATGTAAATTAACTACATTATAAATTCATCATCATATTTTAAGGTAGTACATCTGCTCTAATATCCTGTCCTTGTAGAAGCCACAGTTCAGGATTTCAAGGGTCCAAACTGAATAATCATTTTGCTTACAGAAGTCCAAAACAGAACAAACAGAAGCAAAACAAAACAAACCCATCCCCACTGAGCCTGGGTGTTTCTTCCACAGATATTCTTAGGACATCTTTAGTGGGAGAAAAAAACGTATCCTGAAATAGCAGAAACTAATTTAACTGTTTTGTAGATTATTAACTAGGCTAAATTCATTAACAGCTGTACTGTACCAACTGTGCTCTCTTCTTTCTTCAGTTTCTCTCCAAGTTGCTGGTTATGAAGGTGGAGATCAGCCAGTTGTGTTCCAAGCTTTGATGAATGCCTAGAAACAAAAGTATCCTTAGCAAAGAAGACAGAACTCGGACTCTTCTTTATATCTGTCACTAATTCTGCCTTCTTCTCTCTAAAAGGCCTATGAGACCAAAGAGTATGATGGCCTTCATTGTATCTTCTCTTTTTATTTTTTAAATAAAAGTTTGCCCTCTACACAGTTCAGGAAAGTCCTGCTGTAATTACAAACAACTCTTGCAGCCAATTGCCTCCCATATGAATGACACTATGCTACTTCTCCTGTCTCACCTCTCACATCTCTCCCTAGTTCTAAAGGCACAGTCATTTAAAGCAAGGTCATTTCTCCATTTTCTTTTCATTAATACATATCATAGCTATCTCCTGAAATTTGAAGGTCAGGGGGTACATTTGTACCCTTCTCATCTTAGTCAGCAAAAACACAGTAGAATTTCTGCTCTTTCTCTTGGAATTCACTGAGTTGTCTTAACAAATTAAAAACTATGCTGGCTGCAGAAATTTTGAGACTGAAACAGGAAATCAGCTATGCCTATCTCCTAATGAAACTGGAGGGAAATACTCACTGCTTTTTAAATTACTCAAGCATTTGCAACAGAAAAGGGCCAAACGCTTAAAGCCATCAAAATCTGTGTGAGAGCTATTGAAAAAATAAAATGAAATCTGAATGCAATCATGTTTGGAAGTGGCTTTCCATTTTCATGAGAAGAAATAATAAACACTGGTTCTTATATCAAATGCAATTGTATAAAAACAACTGACCAAATAAGTAGTTTTCCTTACTGTAAAAAACAATGATTTAAAAATAATTAAGTATTATAAAATTAAACAACACCACACACACTTACTGATGTATGGCCTGACTTACAAGCTGAAGTATTCTGATGTATTTTATATAGTTCTCTGCTATATAAATTCCTAGAAGTATCTTGACTTGACACAAAAAAAAATCCTCCCCCCAACCCCGAGAAAAAAGATATTTAATTGCCATGACAGTCAACATTTCTGACAAAAGAAGCAATAATACTGCTGTGTTTTACCTGTTTAAGCCTCTCATTTCCAAATGTTCCATCACAAACAGAGTACTGACCCCAGGCAGGTCTATAACTTTGATGGGTTTAGGCACTTTTATTGTCCCTGTTTTCAGGATGGCTTCTAGACTTGCCATTTCTCCCTCAAACATTCTTCTAGCCTGTCAAATATTAAAGGAAAGCATTAATCTCTATTAACACCAGTTAAAGAAAATAAAACCAATCAAGGCTGTAAACATTGAATAAAAACAAGGAACAAGTAGGTTAATGCATGTACAAGACAGAGATAGATCCAAAAAACCCCATCTGACAACCAGTTTAGAATTTGAGATTTCACTTCATAAAGTGATTCCATTGAAGGGACTTAGTTTCTGCCATGCTCTATAAACACAAAAGCAACTTTGTCTGTTTACAATAGAAGGAATGTAACTCATGTATATAAGATGTAAGTGGTATTTTATTAATTGACCATGAAGCAAATGACTAGAAAGATACATTTCTGTGACTATTATCCACTTTGAGTAACGTTTATTCCCTTGGGTTGCTCCACTGACATCAGAGGCACTAATCACATGAAGAAATACTGCTCTAGAAGAGTTACACAGAGTTGCAGAAGACACATGGGAAATTGGTAATATTTGCTGAAGATAAAGGCAATGAAATATAATGAATAAAACAGAAACAGTACAAGCCCCATTACTAATACACAAAATACAGTGAGAGGATCAAAAATGAAATACTGCTACAATATCTTTGTTTGGAGGAAACTGTAAACACTGCAATTCCATCTACATCATCATAACAGGTTAAAGTTGGGTGTTAACTCTAATAGTTGAAAAAAAAAAAATAGCATTTTCTAGAGGATTTTGGTTTTTTAAAGAAACTGCTGATATGTCCCCATTGCTGCACACACTGCACTGCATTACAACTGCTTGGCAAAGTTTGCTTTAATCAGCATTTGGAATCCACAGACACGAGCAAAATAATTATAATATTAAAAAAAAAAAAAAAAAAACAACAATTACTGAATAGATCTTTTTCAATGGCCCTATCTTGTAATTAACTGCACTGAATCCCTAAACACGCACTGAACAAAAGCCTCGGTAGAATGGCTGTGTTTCAATTCAAAGTGTTTTCAGCCTCACACAGAGCAGCACAGCATGTCAGTATTTTGCTGCATTACCACCTACAGTGCATTTATCATCAGTTCCCTGATACAATCAGGAAGCATCAACAAATTTAGAAGCATCTATAGGCGCAGGCAAGCTTTAAAAAATATTTTTTGTTATTAAATGCAAATAGAAGTTCTTCGGTTAGTCCAATGGAACTGTTCACTTGGCTGCCACAAGCACAGAGTACCTTTAAAGTAAATTCCACCCAGTCTTTATATTTTTAAACAAGCACACCACACACGTATGCTGTGCTGTATCATCTCTGTCAAAGGCAGATGGTTACTTTCTACAGCAGCTGGCACTGGATGCTGAAAGGAGAAAGTCCTGGACAACGGTGGAACACATCCTTTATTGTGAAAAGCTCCTTCCTGAAGGAAATGAGTGGTTCTGTTAGCACAACCTAACACGCATACCCTCACCCAATACAGCTCGCTCTGGACACTTCCACCATACGTGCAGCTGCAGCGATACCAGCACTGCTCCTGCCCTGCACCCGGACCAGCAGCAGGGGCACAAGCTGGCAAAGCAAGCAGATCTCCGAGCTCAGCAGCAGGCCAGCTCCTGGACTCCAGCTGCTTACCCGGCTACCGCCTGAGGCCAGCCGGACAACCCGCCCCCCCACCTCACAAAGAGGCCGAGCCCAGCCCGCCTCCAAGGAGCGGCCGCTCTCACAGAACCCCGCGACCCCCCGCGCCGAACCAGAGGCTCGCCACACGCACCCCGCCCTCAAAAACCCTCCCCACCTCCGGCTTAGAGTTGCTCTTCACATACACCCGGCCGCCGTCCGTCTCATAGCTCTGACCCTGGCTGATACAACCGCCCCCCAGGTGCCCGGTAGCGCGGAGCACCGCGGTGCCCAACTCCCGCTTCAGCGCTTCCTCCATGCCGCCTGCCGCGGATAGCGCCCAACTGAGCATGCGCGGAGCGGCTGCGCGGTGCGACGGGGGGCGGGGCCGGCAAGATGGCGGCGTTGGGTGAGGTGAGCGGGAACGGCTGGGCAGGGCGCTGGGTGCGGCTGACGGGAGTGGGCTGGCTGAAAACCAGCGGTCAGCTGTGACTTCTGAGGGTGATGGGCCTTTGTTTTTTGTGTTAGCTTCTCTGCAGTCTCTTAGGGGTGGACGTGAGCCAGTGTCAGTCTGAAATAAATCAGTAAATCCCTTTTCTTCCCATTAGGACTTGTTTCCTGTTGGGGTGACCTTGGTGAACTTCGGTTACCTCGTAGGTAACTTTGTTAAATATTCAGTCAACTTTATTGAAAATACAAGTTTCCAAGTGTAGAAGCTGTAAGAGTTCCCACTGATCCTTTTTATTCAGGTCTCTGTTACAAATATATGGTTTAGTTTGTGGTAGCAGTGGTAATGAGAAGATGGTTGGACTGGATGATCTTACAGGTCGTTTCCAACCTTGTGATTCTATGACTCTATGATTCTGTTAGTCAGAGATACATATTTTGATTTTATAGCGTTTCCTTAATGCCTGTGGTCTCGCTGGTTGCAATAGAAGAACTGAAGTTCCTTCTTCCCAGGAATGTCCATACTTTTCATTTTCAAGCTTTCCCATATGTCTTTAATTTTGTAATTTATTTTCTTTTCAGCTGCACCGTCTTTAGGGAGAAACTGATGTTTTAGAGTTTGGCAGGATGTCTGGATTTATTGCAGTCCAGAGAGAACTACCTTGAATGTTTTTGCTATGCTGATACATTTCTGTCTTCTTCTGCAGTGCCTGCAGAGATCATCTGTGTGCTGCATTTGTACCAAATCCAAACTGTGTGAGCTATACTTATCTTATGACATTCATTGAGCCATAATTGTTTCTGTGCACAATACATTTACTTCCCTGGAAAGCACAGTGTGTGAAGATACCATCAGGAGCAAATGAGCCACACGTTTTGTGCACAAGAAATGTGACATCTCCGTTTTGTCAGATTTACTGCATGTACTAAGACTATTCATGTGGCAGGTTTGCAATGTAATTGGTGCTTTTTAGAAGTACATATTCATTGTCAGTCTAAAAAATTACAAATTGATGCGTGATGGCTTCAACTTGGGCTTTTAGCCACTCCAAATACGTCAAAAGCATGCAAAGTTTTGCTTGCAGAAGGCTGGTAGTATTGCCTTTTTGTGCAGAGAGCAGTAATTCACTTAACAGTTGACTGTAAAAGGCATTACTGTTTGTGGATGTGACAGTGATAAGTTGAAGCCCTGTGTCTTAATCAGAACCAGCAATAACGTAGTACCACAAGGGTATGGGAATAGAAATAGAATATCTTTTTGCATTCCTGAACTCATTTTCATTCCTAAATTTTCATTTTTGGCGTATATTGGCTCTCCTGAGTTGTCCTAAAAAATATCCTTAAACCTGCATTGCAAAGTCTCGTTCAGATAACTGCTGTGACTGTTGAAGAATGACTGAGATCATGCTGAAGGAGACCTAATTCTCCATATGGAAAAGGATTCTATGAGCTTTATTTCAGCCTTCTTATTCAGAGAATGAAAGAGTAATATTTTTCAATAAGACTTGCTCTTAGCTTCTGTAGTTTCTAACAAATTATGAGATTTTGAAGGATTTAACATGACCAGCACTTTTTTTTTTTTTGTAAATAAATGAGATGACTGCAATTTTTTTTTTAATTTCCTGTTGTTGTTTGCTTGGTTTTTTTTTAGCTTTCTTATTTTGACAAAACATTTAAATATATAAATCATAAATTTTAATTGTTTTCTATTAAAGTAGAATTTAACGTGTGTGGTTCAGTCTTCAAACACTAAGTTGTAGATTTTCCAAACTGTCAGCAAATAGTCACTAAGGGACAACATAAGGAGCAGAAAGCAATTGCACTTAATTCCATGAAATTTAATTGGATTGTACTGCTTTCTGATTGCATCTGATCAGATAGGATGTAACAGAAGTTTGGCCAAAACTGTAATGTCAAACTCATTACATGGTGGACGTAATCGGGGGGAGGAACTGACAGCATGCTTTGCAAATTAGAGATTAAGCATTCTGGAAGAAAGTCAGCAAGACGCACAAGACTTAGCATTCCTGAAGGCACCATGGGGCATCTTTGCAGAAGGCACTGGCTCCCAACTCCTGCAGGTGTTGGAGAACGAGGATTTGGGAGCTGTTCCCTCACAGATAACCTTTGTAGTGCAGGTTCTAACTTCAAGCTCTTTGTGAGCCAGCTGCATGCTGCCTTTGGCCTCTGTTCCATAGATTACTGTCCCCATTTGAAATAAACCACTGAGTCAGGCTGCAAATGTACTTACTGAGGATTATAAAACAACCCTTAGCTGAAACCCTGTACTGAAAATGTTCGTGCAGTGCAGGTCTGTATACCACAAAAGACATATAGCAGTGTGGGTTGACTTTGCAATAATCCTTTCTTGCCTGCCTCCACTCTTTCCCCCTCCTTCCCCTCATATCATTCATTCCTATTTGAGTATTTTGAAAAGCTTTCAGTAGGCTATTGAACCCACCCACTTTCCTCTGCACTGTTGGGGTTCAACAGCAATATTTACCTTGTTCTGGTGCCTACGTAGAGGTTAACTTTCTGTTTAAAATAGTATTTCTTTCTCTTCTGTGGAGGAGAAGATAACTGGCACGCTGGGCTGCAAATTATTTGGTGAGTCACCAGTTAATACGTCCTGGATAGAAAAGCACTGCAGCTGCTAATTGCTGTTTACTGCTTGACATTATGTACAAGAAAAGAAAAGGTAATTGGTATGTACAGCCTTTTATTAGGTGGTTTATATATACAAGTGGCAAATACACATAGGGGCTTTTCAGGCTCTATTTCTGTGAACATATAAGTAATATGCTGTGGGCTCTTTCTGTCTTTTTTCCTCTCCCACATCCATGGATAAGCTGCGGGGGTGGATCAGGAAGGATGTAGGACTTTCCATCAGAGAAAGAGATGATTTATAAGACAGTCATTGGCGTTCGTTGTTAGAGCTCTTTTTTCTCTCTAAAGATAATTTGCCCTGAGAGAGAAATAAAATTCCCCAAGTCATCTGTGTGAGCAAATAAGTGGAAATGAGCTGAGAAGTTTCACGATCAAAATAAGACTGACCTGAAAAGTGGAATTTTGCTATCGTTCTGATTGTGCAGCAACACTGAAATCCGTGTTTCCACGTGTGCTTATTTGCAGAGCTAATGCCTCCATGGGTTCATTTTCAGCAGTTTCTAAAGCCATTTCATGGGTGTGATTTGGGGTGGAATCTGAGTGAAAGTGAGAGAAATGCCAAAGGGCTTGTTCTTACTTGCTGCAGAAACAGGAATCAGAGGTTTCTGTTATTCTGTTTTTGTTGCTGTTTTTCCCCAGGGATGAGTATTTAGGCTTTGTCTCCCTCTGTTTTTGATACAGCCTTTGCCATATTGCCAGTGTGTTTGATTGCTCTCAAATTTCTGCCTTTTCAACAACCTGAGGAAGAACAATCTTAATGTATATAACTTTAATAATGAGAAGATTTGATGCTCTTTGTGAGGGTTAAAAAAAAAAAAAAAGTGTTGAGTTTTGATTGTTCTTTTTTGTTGTTTTCAGTAAAAAAAAGTTTTCTGTCACTTCAGATGTTTGAGAGTTTCTGCTGTTTTTTTTTTTTTTTTTTTGCTTCTTTATTAATCCTGACAAAGATGTTATTTGCAATTGTGACTCAGGTTAGCCTACTTCTATATGGCACAGTAAAAGAGCTCTATATGTATCACTATTTATTTAAATCATACTTGCTGCTGCCCCTGAACAGGTTGTCTTAGTGCTTGAAAGTGGGTTCCAAAATGCATTTTCTTCTCTGTCATTCAGCCAGGTTAAAGATCTGTTAAAGATTTGTGGGCGTATTCGAGTTTCCCAGTTCCTGTATAAAGTACAGCCACAAGCTGCCCTCAGAACAAACCTGGGCTTGGCACAGATTGGTTCTAAACATGATTAGATACACACATGAGATAAGGGGAATTAGCTGGGAAATGGAAACATTTCAGAATTCTGTTTGTGGCATCAAAACAAGTCCTTGAAAAGCATTCTCATTTGTAACAATTGACAAGTGAAAAGCTTCATATTAAAAGAAGTTTAACTTACAAGTTCAGGATTATGCAAATGCGTGGTTGTTTTGTTTTCTCTTCTTTAGTGAACTTTGGGAAAAATTAAACACAATTTCAGTAAAACAAGATATAATGATTAGTTTGTACTTAATTTTTTTTTTTTTCTTACAGCATCTGAAAGCACTCCTCTGAGAGTTGTGGGTTAAATCCCAGGACACTCTGTATTGGCTGTGGCAAATAGCTCTGGGAAGCTGAGGCAGAAAGAATTGGAGTGAGCTGGCTGAGTTTTAAAGGAAATCTCTGCTGGAAGTGGGATTGGAGCACAGTTTCCTGATGGCCAGGGCTGTACTGCATAGCAGGAATACAAAGGACTGCTCTGCCCTGCATTTAGCCCATTTAAAACTGAGATGTACGCTCAGATGACGCATCAGGAAGAAGAGCACACATCTCCATGTAGATCTTCGACAGCAAAGCACTGGAGCCTGGGAAACTGTTGTTTGTTGTTGTAAATTATCTTCCCCACTTCCAGCTGCACTTTGGTTCCATCAAGTAATGGCTGGATTATGAAGAATATGGAACTATTGGATGCAGAAGTACAGCAATGAGGGGATTGTCTGCCCTACTCTGGGAATGTGCTGTTCTGATGCCCACGGCTGCAATGTGCTTCGTGGTCTTTTGGGTTGCACAGCATTAGCAATAGCA